GTGGTTCCACGCTGCGCGGTCTTTCGATCTGGATGACAACAGTCGCCACCCACTACTACTGGAGAGTTTTAATTCCCCATGTGTGCGTCATCATAATCAGGTGTATCTGCATCGACTGTTGCTGCCACGGTTTGGATGATGCAGTTTAAGGTGGACTGTGTGCAGCGTCGTGGAAGATAAAAAAAAAAACACCAGGGGATCTTCTGCGTTGGCTCTTTCACAGAAAGGCGGTGTCTGTTCGTGAGTTCTGTTAACCTGTATTCAGCTCTCCAAAGCTTCATCGGGGATTTGAACTTGCATCATTGAAGGTTAAGTGGATAGGGTCCAAAAGGGGCTTGCTGCGTGACTTCAAGCGATGTCGAGGGATGTTATTGAGGTCCTGGCGGAGGGGAAGGGGGCGACTGTTGTCCCTGATGATTCGCAGGGGACTTCCCGGAGGGTTGCTGCGTCGTGGCGGATGGTTGGGGGAGAGATTTCGTGACAGCACGGGCAGCCAGGGTAGTTGGGGTCGATCTGAGGGTTCCAACAATTCACCACCGTATTGCGGTGTTCAGTGGCGATGGGTAGTGATGGTGACACGTGGTGATGATGGTGATGGGTAGTGATGGTGACACGTGGCAATGATGGCGATGGGCCGTGATGGTGACACGTGGTGGTGATGGCGATGGGTAGTAATTGTGACACGTGGCGGTGATGGCGATGGGTAGTGATGGTGACACTTGGTGGTGATGGCGATGGGTAGTGATGGTGACACGTGGCGATGATGGCGATAGGTAGTGATGATGATACGTGGCGATGATGGCACGCGATGTTGTTGATCGTGATGTTCACGATGGGGTGATGTTGATGATGGTTCAGTTGGATATCAACAAGTTGAGTGGTGACTACTTTTGATCCATGTTGGTGCACAGTGCTCGGCTACAGAGTATGCGAGGGCCATCGTTGATGTCCGTAGCACCGAGGGTGATGAGGCTCCCCGGCTTGTGGATTGCCACACCACGGACCATACAGAGAACCCATAGACTCGGGGAAGAACATAGAGACACATAGAGACACGTATAGACACTTAGAGATAGAGACACATAGATACGTAGAGCCACGTAGAGACACTTAAAGATATATAGAGACACATAGAGAATGATAGGGATCTAGAGAGACTCATAGAGATACACAGAGACCTATAGAAACCCATAAAGATACACAGAGTCTCATATATATACGTAAAATCCTTAGAGTAAACCCATTGTGGCAATCTGCGCTCCGTGAACACAGGAGGAGGAACAGAGACACGACACGAACTCTCTACTGAGGTCCTCTCGTCGTGGTAGCAGCAACAGCAGTACCTCGATATTGGAATCGAGATCCTGGACCACAACACAACATCACTGCTGCTGCTACCGCACACAAGAGCAAGAAGTGAGTGTGACACAGCGGATAAATAAGATCACGAGTTTAATACATTCATGGGCGAATCGAATAATTTCATTTTAAATACATACGCAGTGCAAATTCTTTCTCTTTATTATCTCTAAATCACCAACATTCGGAGGGACAATTGACATGTAAACCAGTTTAACACGTATAAGGAGGCTTTTGCGATCAATATCATCCATAATACAGGGTTTTTGTTTTGTTTAGATCACCCAAAATATAAATGTAAACCCGCCACCAACCGACACAGCTGTCATATTAGTAAGGTTTGTCACGTAAACAGAACACGCCAATTCGTTACTAGTGGTCACGGGTTTAACGACACATTTATATTTACGCGATCTAACCCAAGAAAAGAAAAAACGATATTATACATGTGTAGTGTTTATAATGACGAATACACTTTTTATGAGGCACACTCTGTTTATTGTCTTTCTACTAGTACACAGTCCTTATCACACAAAGGGGTATGCGGTCCCCTCACCCGATACCCTAAGGAGGTACAGCCTCCGGACTTAGCGTGACCTACACACAGGTCTCTTCCTAACCTAAGGAGGTACAGCCTCCAGACTTAGCGGGACCTACACACAGGTCTCTTCCTAACCTAAGGAGGTACAGCCTCCTATCTTGGCGGGACTTACTCACACGTCTTTCACTATCCTAGAGTCCTCCGGCTGAGACCTAGGGGAGGCTATCTGACCCACCGCTGGCCCGGCGGGTCTTGACCACTGGATACGCCGAGCCTTAGCCCTCAGAAGGGCTGGAAGGCTGGGTCCAGGGTCCTGGCTATCTTCAGCCCGGGCTTCGGTCTTCGTGTAGGGGGAGAACTCCCTGCGCTCTGCGCGCTCACCCTTCTCATACTCGTTCGTGGCCAGGTGTAACCAATCACACATTCCCACGTGGAACTGTCTGATTGGTTCTTACCAAACTGTGGCTATGATCCACTTCACCTCGTCTGACCCCAACCATTATTCACACAGAGGTAATGCTGCACTGCCCCTTTGATACCTAGTGGCAATGCAGGTTACCCAACAGTGAGTAGTTAGCACCTCTACATCTGTGTAGTGAGCGACTTTCGAGACACGTTGAGTAGAAGGCTTAATTATTTATTAAGAGCACAGTGGGTGATACATTATGTAATGCAGCTACACATAGGCGATCCTAACACTCACAGCCCCATCACATACAACTATGCAGCTGTCCGACTAGCGTAGCAACAGCGGCAAAGAGGGTCTTGCAGCAGATCAGCCACGTGGTCGGAGAACAAAGAGATGATGACGGGCAGCGACGCAGCCTGGACCCAGTACTCCAAACAGCCCCGAACCTCTGGTTCGATCCTCCTTATATCCGCCCCGGCATGGCCAAGCTCCACCTCTGGCCACGCCCCCTTCCAGAACCCTCGAGCCAGTTCCTGGAGTTTTTCGACTGACTCCGCCTTTCACCTTTACCGCAGATACGCGCCCCTTATAATAAGGCGTTACGTAATGCCACCATAATGGCAATTACCACTCCAGGCCGACAGATGTCACCCTGTCATTACACATGTAAACCGATCGTCATATTTTTTTTGTGGTTAATCGGCAACGCGGTTTTCCTTCTAGTTCAAAAATATGCGGGGGGCGGGGGCCTCTTCAAGTATCTCCAAGTATCATCTTCCCCTTTCTCACTCTAAGAGTAAGCAGCAAATGCGTTTTAAACCTAGCGGTATCTCAACCTTTTACCGCCGCCTATAGACTCCTTTGGTTCTCAATCTTTGAAAAAAAATGTAATGTTCATAAACCACATAGGGTTTGATGAAACAAATTGTGTTACTTCACGTGTCCCGTGCTTATTTTGTGTTTTAGATGATTTACCTTCTAAAAATGTTTTTTGCCACATCTCGCACGCCCACCAGAAAGAGCATCTGGCACCCCCATGGGACATTTACCACCCATTGTAAGTTAACATCGTACCAGCGTAAAACATTCCTGGCCAAACATCTAAATATAGGACCACAGAGCTCGGGCAAGTTCTTGGCGGTTGTCCATTCTGTCTGGCCGCCTTCCCACTCCGCTGCCTGCGGCTTCCTGCACCGCCGTGCGAAAGCTGCGCACGCTGCAAACTCCCTCTGAGCACTCTGGGATGCATTTCGCACGAACGGCCCCACGTACATCATTGGTCAATATCAAAGATGACGATTAACTATCGATGATAACTATTCATGATGATTGTCGTTAAGTAAGCACCTTGTTCGAGACGCAGACGTCATCGCGCCTCCTGCTCGTCTTCTCAAGAGCCCCCATCGATCTGCTCCATCCTATCTCGCTGATCAGTGGCGTACCGGCTTAAACGGACCCCAATCGACTCCCGACTACGACCCGCGGGCTCGCGCCGATCGCCCGCCTGCTGTGCTGTACCCTCTCGCTTGCTGTGCTGTACCCTCCCCTGTAAACGTCGCGTGCGGTACGGCCTCCGGCCCAAAGACCCTGGATCACCGCTACCAGGATCCTGAGTCTGAGACAGTTTCTGCAACAGACTCAACACGGTTGTTGTTGAAACGTCGTGAGAATATTATTGTGTTATTTTATTTTATCAATGTATTATTTTATTCTCATTCTACGTGGCTTTACCGAAAGAACCAAAGAAGACGGTTGTTGTTGTTGTTTCAAATAACCTACTTCAATGTGGTCTGCGTTGCTTCAACAGAGGAGGAGGAACAATGACAACACATGAAGTCTCTCTCTGCCCTCTCTCTCTAGTCGTGTAAATAGCATCAGCAGCAGACTTCGACATTGGCATCGAGATCCTGACCCACGTAACGCTGCCATCGTGATTGTGAATGGAATTGTTGTTAAGGGAGCTGGTAGCGTCGTAGCGGTTCGTGCTGTGCTACGCTACGATCCCGCGGACCCCCGAGTTCGATTCCCACCACACAAGTGACGATTATCTGAACCGGTCCTAGGCCTCCCCTAGGTCGACTCAGCCTCAATTAATTCCCCAATGTGTTATGCCTGGTAGGATGGGGATGGTTTAGTTTTATTTGTTTATTTTTGTATAATTTGTTTACCATTCTAGTACAATGCACTACTATTGTGTTTTTGTACTGTGCCAGTTAAAAGGGTAAAACCTATAACTATATCTTGTTAGTGGCAAAGGAGGTCTCATAATGTAAATGCTCACCCCGAGCCCTCAATACTCTGATAGTGTGCTGTTTTTGAGTTTTACGCCTTTTGGCGTCTTCTGGTCCAACACCAGTGGAGACTAGGCTCTAAGAAAAGCCGTCTCGGGTGTTGACCAATCAAATTCAAGGACAGTGCATATTATTATCAGAGTTGTCTTTTTTGTTTGCATTTTTACTGCTTGTGTTGTGGTTATTGCAAATATGATGCCTTGAATAAAGGTGTCAGTTTTTGTGCCAGTTAAAAGGGTAAAACCTATTACTAGATGAAGTCTTATTCATATTCTTGGTTCTTTCGGTAAAGTCACGTAGATAGAAAGCAAAAAAAATAATCAAATTAAAATAATAATATAAATTGAAAATAATTAAAGCTTAAAACCACGATTAAAATAGGAAAATTAAATTTAAAATATTAATAAGTTGAAAAAATAAAAGCAAAAAACCCATGACGTTTCGATCGCAACGAAAGTGGTCTTCATCAGGCAGAGAGAAAAGAGGGCTTAAGCCTCCAAATGTAACTGCTTATAAGGGTTCTAAAGTGAGTGGGTGGTGGACAAGCAAGCAACACGCTAATGCAGGAGCAAAACAATGGGAGAGTTGGGAGGAGGTGAGTTTGTGCAGCGCAAACAGCAAGGGCGGGGCAGCCAGTCAGCCAGCGCTAATGTAGGAGCAGACAATGGGGGGGGGTGGGGGAGGAAGAAGGCAGATACAGGGGGAGAGAGAGGGAGGGGGTTCCAAATGAAGTCCGCATCTTCTAGCTCTGAGCGAGCAGATGAAGTTTGCTTCTTCTAGCTCTGAGCGAGCAGATGAGGTCTGCATCTTCTAGCTCTGAGCGAGCAGTTGAGGTCTGCATCTTCTAGCTCTGAGCGAGCAGATGAGGTCTGCATCGTCTAGCTCTGAGCGAGCAGATGAAGTCTACATCTTTTAGCTCTGAGCGAGCAGATGAAGTCTGCATCTTCTAGCTCTGAGCGAGCAGATGAAGTTTGCTTCTTCTAGCTCTGAGCGAGCAGATGAGGTCTGCATCTTCTAGCTCTGAGCGAGCAGTTGAGGTCTGCATCTTCTAGCTCTGAGCGAGCAGATGAGGTCTGCATCGTCTTGCTCTGAGCGAGCAGATGAAGTCTACATCTTTTAGCTCTGAGCGAGCAGATGAAGTCTGCATCTTCTAGCTCTGAGCGAGCAGATGAAATTTGCTTCTTCTGGCTCTGAGCGAGCAGATGAGGTCTGCATCTTCTAGCTCTGAGCGAGCAGATGAGGTCTGCATCTTCTAGCTCTGAGCGAGCAGATGAGGTCTGCATCTTCTAGCTCTGAGCGAGCAGATGAGGTCTGCATCGTCTAGCTCTGAGCGAGCAGATGAGGTCTGCATCTTCTAGCTCTGAGCGAGCAGATGAAGTCCGCATCTCGTGAACTCTTGGTGAATGGAGCTCAGGATCGTATCTCCTCCTCCTCCTGATGCTGCTGCTGCCTCCACGACCCCCAGCCCACCGGAGGAGGCGAACAATGACGAAAACGAGGAGGACAAAGATGGTGGCAACGTCGACGCGTGGCCCAGGGCGGGCTCCGCCGTGGGCGGAGAGCCGCAGTCGAATGAAGAAGCCGCCGGCAGGGCCCACGCGGGCTCCGGTGTGTAGCAGAAGCTGTAGGCTGTTGGGTACAGGAGGCCGTCGGGGCGCGCCAGCGTGAGGGGGACCCGCGTGGGCTGGAGGGCCCAGCGCCACTCGCCGCCGTGGGCCGACACGTCGGGGACCGCGCACAGGAGGCCCCGCGGCGGCCTTTGGGGAGGTGGCACCATTCGTAACTTTTTTTGGAATGTATGTTGTGGTAATTACAGTATTCCCTCATTATCATAAACACATTATGGTATTTCCTCATTATTATAATGATATTACAATATACCCTCGATATCATAATCACATCACTGTATTCCATATTATTATAATTAGTTTATGTAATAATCACATTACAATGTCCCTCATTATTATAGTTAGATTACAGTATTATAACCACGTAACAGTATTCCCACATTATTCTAATTATATTATGGTATTCCCTCAGTATTATAATTATCACACTACGGTATTCCCACATTATTATTAGTGAGCGGTATTAGAATCACATTACGGTATTCCCACATTATTATAATTACATTATAGTATTCGTACTCTTTGGGTCTTTCGGTAAAGTCACGTAGATAGAAAAATAATAAAATAATAAATCATCACGACGTTTCGATCGCAACACAAGGAATCGTCTTCAGGTGAAAAAATACAGCAGGAAGACTGCCGAGGCAGGAAGAAATGTAGCGAGAGAGCTACTGCAGCCAAAGGTTATAAAGGTTGAGATGGGTACAACCCAAGGGTAAGTGGGCGGGGCTAGAGATGGAATTTGCAAGTAAATGTCAAATCGCAGAGCTAGGTATACCTCAGTTATTGTGTTGCTAGAGATTATCATGTCAAACTGTTAATGGTAACCCCACGGTTACAGTGCTGAAGAAGCCATTGTATTGCTCGAGATTAGAGATTATCATGTCAATGTGTTAATGTAACGCCACGCTTACGGTGCTGAAGAAGCCATTGTATTGCTCGCGATTAGAGATTATCATGTCAATGTGTTAATGTAACCCCACGCTTACGGTGCTGAAGAAGCCATTGTATTGCTCGAGATTAGAGATTAGCATGTCAATGTGTTAATGTAACCCCATGCTTACAGTGCTGAAGAAGCCATTGTATTGCTCGCGATTAGAGATTATCATGTCAATGTGTTAATGTAGTTACATTACCTTATTAAATGTCTTTACATTAACAGGCTAAATGTCTCACTAACATAGCTGCTGCTCCCTTTTCCTCGATGCGACGATGGCGCTCGTTGTTGAATAGGCTGAATGTCTCTCATTAACACAGCCGCCGCTGCGGGAGCCGTCTCACATTGACATGCTAATCTCTCATCTCGAGCAATCCAATGGCTGCAGTAGCTCTCTCGCTGTATTTCTTCCTGCCTCAGCAGTCCGCCTGCTGTATTTTTTTACCTGAAGACAATTGCTTGTGTTGCGATCGAAACGTCGTGATTTTATTATCATTATTTTATTATTTTTCTCTCTACGTGACTTTACCGAAAGACCCAAAGAGTTTGAATTCCTGCAGTCACGAAAGATTTAAGCCAAGATTATAGTATTCTCTCGGTTTTATAATCAAATTACGATATTCCCTCGGTATTATAATCAGATTTAGGTATTATAATCACATTACGGTATTCCCACGGTATTCACGAAGTTGGCTGTCCACGAATTGCATCTGGAACTCTACGCGACTGCATTCCAAAGCTTGGGAGCTGCACCAGTTACATTGTGCCCACTGTGTGTGTGTCGGTGGGTTTGGCTATGGGAGGAAATCGGAGAACCCGGAGGAAACCCATTGCAGAACTATCACACTCAAAGACAAAAAGACAAAAATCCCCCGTATAGTCTTCACAGACTGCTGGGGCTAGTGCTGTTAGCTTGTAACACCTATGAAGGCACACGACGGGGTGGGTGGCCAACGTCACGCCTGGCCCCCTTTGTCTGCCCAGTACTCATTTGAGGCTGCGTCGACCTAGAGGAGGCCCAGAACCGGTTCAGATAACCGTCACTGGTGTTGGCCGTGAGTGGGAATCGAACTCGGATCACCGGGTACGTAGCACAGCACGCTACCACTCCCCACTATTACACTACCACTCCACACACTCACACACTCTTACTCAAACATACTCTCACTCTCTCACATACTCTTACATTCACATACACTCACTAACACATACACTCTTACTCTCACTTACTGGAACACACATACTCCACATACTCACACACTCTCATTCACTCTCACACTCACTCATTCACCGGAACACAGACTCCACACACTCTCATTCACTCTCACTCACTCACGAGAACACATACACTCTACACACTCACACACTCTCATTCACTCTCACACTCCCTCACTGAAACACACAGACTCCACACACTTTCACTCACTCTCACTCACTCTCACACTCTCTGGAACACACAGACTCCACACACTCTCACTCACTTACACTCTCACACTCTCACTCACGAAAGCACACAGAATTCCCCAACACAGAACGGTGCCCGAGAGTCGGGGAACCGACCCCGGGGCTCTTTCCTGTTTGCTGTGAAGGCGTCCGCAGAGTGTCGTGGCCCCCTCACCTATAGAGCGTTTCAGCCTCCACCGCGCCGAACCACACCTTGAGACCGGGCTCCAGGTGCTCCCCGGTCAGCTCCAGCGTAGCCACGTCACCCCCGCCATGCAGCTGTCACACAACAGCGCCCGCGTACTCCCATGTCAAGCGGTGCACCCACACACCCACGCACACATATCCCACACACCCACACACATACACCGCACCAGGTACGAACTTGAGGCTGAGTCGACCTCGATTCCCTCTCACGGTGTTGGCCGTGAGAGGGAATCGAGCTCCAGTTCGACGGGGTTCGTAGAACAGCGGAGCGCTAACCGCTGCCTCACCACCGCTCCCCAGTACACACGCACACTCATTCACTAGAACGAGGGGCAGAACGTACAAACTCCACACAGAGAGAGGCGCCCTGAGTCAGAAATCGAACACGGGCATCCTTCTTGCCACGAGGTTGCACCGAGTGTGACCACTGCGCTGCCTCTGAACGTACTGAATCATAACAATTATAATAATTAAATCATTCAATCATTACCAATCATTATCATTATATCGATAATTACATAATTCTCACGATATATAATGAGAATGATATTAATGCAATCATTTTTTTAATTCAATTGAATTATCATTCGACTATCCTTCAATTTATTATTATTTAAATTATTGTTTTTCTAAATAATACTTCAATAATAATTGGATTATCATTCTAATTATTGTTATTCTGATTATATATCACTATGTAACACAATTTTTGTTCCTGGGTACTGTGTTATTTTTTAATTGCTCATGCCTAAAAAGTATAGAAAATGTCTATTATTCTCTACAAACTTTGCTTTTATAACCAAAACTTTGCTTTATAGCCAGGACTTTATGTGAACGAAAGACACAAATGCACACGTTTTCTCATAAAAAAATTGCAAAGTTTGTGGGGAATAATAGCCATTTTATGTACTTTTGAGGCATAACCAATTAGGAAATGACACTACTCAGGAACAAAACAATGTTTTGTTACACAGTGAATTATTGCTATTCTGAATGATACTTCAACAATGATTGAATTATCATATTCTTGGGTCTTTCGGTAAAGTCATGTAGATAGGTTCAAAGAAAATAACAAAAAAATTACAAAAAACTACGATGTTTTGATTGCAACACAAGCGGTCGTCTTCAGGAAAAGGGGGGTTAGCTTCCAAGGCAAACTGTTTATAAGGGTTTGAATTGGGCGTAGCCCAAATGTCAGCAGCCAATGATAATGTAAGTGGTGGGTAGCCAACCCGACGGTGATTGGTTTTTCACCAATCAAAGGGCTGCCAGGTGAAAATTAGCATGTTAAAGAGATTAGCATGTTAATGGTAGATCGCAGAGCCGTAACCAAGGGGTCGGCGAGCGAAGTAACTGTGAAAGCGCAAGTTTGAAATGGGCGAAAAGCACAACTAACATCGGAAGGTGGTAGAATGGGAACATCATCGCCAATTATGACTTAAACTGGTTGATAATGTCCTTCCAATTGTAGTGACATCGGCGATGGCACTGTATGGTGCCGGCCCGGGAGGGCCGTGGCATGCGATATCCTTACGTCGCAGAGAGCACCGGGTGGGTTGCTGCGTGATGCCGGCTTTAGCACAGCACGGTGTGCGATGCGCCGTCATCGCGTACACCCCGTAGATGGATATAGTACCAGCCCTAGCGGGGCTTGGTGAGAGCTGGGATAGCGTGGGCACCACGCATAGTGTGTAGTGTGGGCTCCCACAAGGGGGAGCGGGAGAGTGTCAGCCCAGGGACAGGGTTGCCCCGGGCCATGGCACTCTGGTTGACCCCGTAGACACGTGATCTGGAGTGTCCACAGAGACGGCCCCAGGTGGGGGGCTAGGGGGTGATCACGTGTCCAGGGAGAGCTCTCAAAAGGGATCGAGAGGGAGCTAGAGAGCTCGAGGAGGTGGGTGGGGCCGAAAGACCCAAGAATTTGAATTCCTGCAGTCACGATTGAATTATCATTCTAATTGTTATTCTGACTGATACTTCAATAATGATCCGATTATAATAATTATCATTGTCGGGCAGAGTGAGCGCCTGCCCAACAGGCTGCGTATCTCTGTAAGTAGGGGCACACCTCCAAGCCAGTGATGCTCGGGATGGGGGTGACTGGCCCCAGCTGCGGGGGTAGGGGGCCACCCCCCCCCGGCCCCGCCGCCCCGGCGGGCTGCAAGAAGTTGTGCTCCACGCGCTCCGTGCCGATGATGGTCCAGCAGGCTCCGTCGCCCAGCAGCTCCCGTGCCGGGTCGCGGGCGCACGGAGAGGCCTGTGGCGCGCACCACAGGCGAAAGTCCATACTCCGCCCGTACTCTTTCATGGGCCGTCGGGGAGACGTGTGTGCTTTGGTGCGTGTACGTGTGTGTGCGTGTGTACGAGATTCTTGGGCATGTGTCGTGACCCCCCCCCCCCGGGATTACCGCAAGATCCGACGGTCCCATGAGTGCGTGTATAAATGTCCGCCCACGCTCATTACACGCGACAGAGAGGCTCGGCCACAAATGGGCCGCGATGCGCCTTGCACGGAGCTGTTAAACCATCAGCACGCGGACTCCGGCGGTCATCCTTGTGGTGACGGAGGTGGGGGGGCTATGGAGGGGTGGGGGGGCGACCGAGGGGAGGGGGGTGGCGACGGAGCGGTGGGGGAGCGACCGAGGGGGTGGGTGGGGCGATGATGAAAGGGTGGGGGGGGGCAACTAATTGATTGGGGGAGGCGCGGAAGGGGGGGGGAGCGACAATGGAGGGGTAGGGGGGGTCGAGGGGGTGGTGGGGAGTTACTCGGTAGAGGACGATGCGGTCGTTGGAGAGGCACAGGTAGGCACTGGCGCTGCCCTTCACCAGCAGCGCGCACTTGTGCAGCTGGGACACCGGCTCGTCCACGGCCAGCAGGGCGCTCTGCTTCTCCACCTTCCGAATCACCTGGCGGGGGAGGGAAAGGCAGTGCAAGGGTTTCTCAATGTTGAGATGCACCTGGTGAGGAAGACAGACCAAGGGTTCTCAACGTTGAGATCGAGCATGAGGAAGAGAGACGCGAGGAGATTGATAACGATGGGGGAGACGTGAGGAGGATGCTGATGAGGAGACAGGAGGAGGGCGACAATGAGAGCGAGGGTGAGGACAATGAGGGTGGTGATAATGAGGGTCACGGTGAGGGTGACGATGAGGGTCATGATGATGAGAAGGATGAGGGGGGTTAGAGTGAGTCACCATCGTGGGCAATGCCAGGCCGGTGAGGGTGACGATGAGGAGGGTAAGGGTTGTGAGGGAGGTTAGGAGGGTGGTGAGAAGGGTGGTGAAGAGGGTGAGTCACCATGGTGGGCAGTGCCAGGCCGCTCTCTGGGCACACGAGCCGCACACTCGCCCCGTAGCGTACGAAGCCATCACGCAGCGAGAAGCCTCCTTGCATAGGCCTCGAGTCCTCCACTGCTCTCGCACGCGACATCACCACCATCATAATGACCACAGGACTATCACCACCATCATCACCACCACCATCGCCAGTCTACCATCATCACCACCACCACCATCATCACCACGGGACCATCACCACCGTCATCATCATCACCACCACGGGACCATCACCACCACCATCACCACCATGTCCACCACCACCACCACAAGACCATCACCACCAGCACCCCCGGTGGGTGCCCCGTGCCCGCACCCAGGTGCAGGCTCAAAGTGCTTCACTGCTGCCTGCTGGCGACATCATCGTCACCACAATCACCTCCATCATCACCACTACGGGAACATCACCACCAGTCCACCACCATCATCATCACCACCAACACCACCATCATCATCATTACCACCAACACCATCATCATCTTCACCACCATCATCACCACTATGGGACCATCACCACCAGTCCACCACCATCATCATCATCACCACCAACACCATCATCATCTTCACCACCATCACCACCACGGGATCATCACCACCAGCCCACCACCATCACCACCACCAGTTCAGCACCCTCCATGGGTGCCCCGTGCCCTCACCCAGGTGCAGAGTGAAGGCGCCCCACTGCTGCCCGCTGGCGACGAAGCCGCCCCCCTGTGTGTGCAGGTAGCGCGTGCTCACAGTCTGCGAGCGTAGGCGGTTGAACAGTGCCACGCGTGACCCTGACGGGATACAGACTGGGGCACCACCACAACCAACAACATGAACATCATAAACAAACATCATCAACAAACAACCAACATCATCAACAAACAACGTCAACAAACCAACATGAACAACAAACATCATCAACAAACAACGTCAACAAACCAACATGAACAACAAACATCATCAACAAAAAAACAACAACATCACCAAACATCATCAACAACAAACATCATCAATAAACAACAAAGCATCAACAAACATCATCGACAAATGACAAAGCACCAACAAACAACCAACATCATTAACAAACATCTTCAACAAACAACCAACATCAACAAACATCATTAACAAACAACATCAATAAACAACCAACATCAACAAACATCATCAACAAATAACCAACATCATCAACAAACATCACCAACAAACAACCATATCATCAACAAACATCTTCAACAAACAACCAACATCAACAAACATCATTAACAAAAAACATCAACAAACAACCAACGTCAAAACACATAATTAACAAACAACATCAACCAACATCAACAAACATCATTAACAAACAACATCAACAAACAACCAACAGCAATCATCAACAATAAACAACATCATCAACAAACAACATCAACAAATAACCAACATCATCATCAACAAACAACCAACATAAAAACAAACATCATTAACAAACAAACAACAACATCATCAACAAACAACATCAACAAACAACCAACATCATCAACAACAAACAACATCAACAAACAATAAACAACATCATCAACAACAAACAACATCAACAAACAACCAACATCATCAACAACAAACAACATCAACAAACAAACAACCAACATCATCAACAACAAACAACCAACATAAAAGCCAACATCATCAACAAACAATAAGCAACATCATCAACAAACAACATCAATATCATCAACAAACAACATTAACAACAAAAAACATAATCAATAACAGGATAAACAACCAACATCAACATCACCAACAAACAACACAGCCCCAGTGGCGATGTTTACACACCACACACACAGGTACACATTTGAGGCTGAGTCGACCCAGGAAGGCACACACACACAGACAGAGCACGCACGCTCGGCGTTCTTGATCGATTGCTTCTTCTTCGATGGCTTGGAGATAACTTTGATGGTTCGGCTGAGGAAGGAACCGATCTCCTGCCCGTCCACCAACCCCAGCGTGAGCTCCAGACGGAAGTGCTTTCTCTTGTCCTGGTCCGACACGAACAGGGTCTTGGCACAGCCGAAACTCTGCGGTGGTGGAGAGACAAACGGGGAGAAGGGAGAGAGAGACACACATAGAGAGGAGAGACACGGACAGAGCGATACACGGAGAAAGATATACAGATATATAGATACAGAGAGAGATACAGATCGACACGAACAGGGTCTTGGAACAGCCGAAACTCTGCGGTGGTGGAGAGACAAACGGGGAGAAGCGAGAGACAGAGAGAAAGAGACACAAATAATTGCACAGAGAGAGAGAGAGATCTAGATAGATAGACAGATAGATACAGAGAGAGACAAATAGGGAGGAGAGACACAGAGAGATAGAAATACACAGATAGACACACAGAGAGAGACAGAGATAGACACAGATAGCAAAACAGAGACACAGATAGACAGATACAGACAGAGAAACACAGATTGACAGACAGATAGAGAGACATGCTGTGCGCTAACCACTACGCCACCACTCATGTGCATACCTTAATACGGGTGTTTGTGTGTGGGTAAGGAGTGGTAGCTGATGATGATGCTGATAGTGATGATGCTATGATGATGTTAACGACAGTGATAACGATGGTGATGATGGTCGTGATGTTGATTTTGATGATAGTGGTGATGCGTATAATAGCGTGATAATGATTTTGATGAAGCTGATAATGTTGATGATTATGTTGAGGATGCTGATGATATTGATTTCGATGATGATGATGCTGCTGATGTTGATGATGATGCTGATAACGATGTTGATGACGATGTTGATACTGATGATATTGACAATGTTGATTATGCTGATGACGATGTTGATGACGACAATGCCGATGACCATGATGTTGATGATATTGATGACGATGATGCTGATGATATTTACGATGTGATGACGATGCGTACGACGACGATGCCGATGTTGATGACGACGATGTGTGGTGACGACGTTGTTGACGACGATGTTGACGATAACGATAATGATGTTGGTGATGACGATGTCGATAATGACGTCGATGATGTTGATGATGATATTGCCCATGACGATGTTGCCGATATTGATGACGATGCTGTTGATGACGATATTGATAGATGACGATGCTGATGACGATGTTGATGATGACGATGCTGATGACGATGTTTACGATGACGACGATGTCGATGATGCCGATGACGATGTTGATGACGATGCTGATGACGACGATGCTGATGACGATGTTGATGACGATGATGCCAACAATGCCGATATTGGTGACGACGAAGCTGATGACGATGTTGATGATGACGATGCTGATGATGATGATGTTTATGATGACGACGATGTCGATGATGCCAATGACGATGTTGATGACGACGATGCTGATGACGATGTCGATGATAACGATGATGACGATGTTGATGACGATGCTGATGACGATGTTGATGACGACGATGCTGATGACGATGTTTACGATGACGACGATGTCGATGATGCCAATGACGATGTTGATGACGACGATGCTGATGACAATGTCAATGATAACGATGATGACGATGTTGTCGTACCATCCCCGCGTGCTGTTGCTGCTGCTGCAGCGGGATTCTCTGCGCCTCCTCGCATCGCGGCCCCGCAGCTGCCCCCCCCTCCTGCAGGATCCCCATGCAGGCCACCACAGCCACGGGCCCCCCATCTAGGGGGCACAACACACAAAAACGTAGCCTTAACAGACTGCTAGGGCAAGTGCTGTTAGCAGCGAGTAGCAGCATCTATGAAGGCCGGCACGGCACACGAGGGGGTGGGTGGCCAGCACCACGCCCGGCCGCCTTTGTCTCCCCAGTGGCGATGTTTTTACGCGCCGCACCAGGTACTCATTTGAGGCTGAGTCGATCTACAGAAGGAGGACGGTTCAGATAATCGTCACTGGTGTTGGTGGCCGTGAGCGGGAATCGAACTCAGGTCGCCGCGCTTTAACCGCGACACTAGCGCCCCCCACACACACTACACTAACACATGGACAAACACAGACAAATACCAATACAGCCGCCATTCGCCACTAAGTGACGGTGACGTTACCACAGCGCCTGTGCCAGGCCAGGTGCACTTTGAGGCCACGTGAAGTATCGAAGGCTCGCTGTCAGGAGGTGTCAGGACAGGTATGCACCAGCTGTACCCCCACTGTGACAACTTGTTGCATTTTAACCGCATAGACACACACATGGACATACACGGACACACATGGACACACACATGGACATACACGGACACACAACAACCGCCATTCACCACTAAGTGGTGGTGACGTCACCACGACGCTTGTGCCAGGTATGTGCACGTTGAGGCCACGTGATATGTCGAACGCCCGCTGGCAGTAGGTCATGGGGTAGACGCAGGTGCCATGGGTTGACTGACTGAGATGACTGGCCGATCCACCACCTGTGCCCCCTACTGTGCCAACTTGTTGTGCCTTAGCCACCTGGCGCTCAGCTCGTTGTTGTGAGCATTGCTCCTCTGCCCTCCGTTGTTGCTGGAGGGTGACTGCCTCCAACTGCCCAGTAGCATCCTTCACGAGCCTCCTCCACAGAGGCCGATCTTGACGCCACCGGTTCCAGTCATCGGCAAGTCCACTCAGCTCCACGTCCTCCTGTACCACATGACTCCATCTCTTCTCTAACCCATGCCGCATCCATTTAGCCCCCTTGATGTCGACCGAACAAAAGCTATTTAGCCAATCGGTGGCTGGCCATGCGTGATGGGACTTTGTCCAGATCTTTCAAGGATTTGTGAGTTCCTCACACAATCTAGCCTGGTTAAACCCAGGATGGATCGTAGGCAGGCTAGCCTAAATGTTTCTAACCGATGAAGATGTTCCATTAGGGGCGTCCACGTTTCGCAGGCATAGAGAAGGGAGGGCATGACTATGGCTGAGAAGACCTGAAGCTTCATGTGGAGTGACAGACCAGGTAGCGTTACGCAACCGATGAAAAGATAATGCCGCTCGACTGATTCGGAGTGAGACCTCTGCTGTCAAACCAGAGCCACTCATAAGCAGACTGCCCAAGTATGGGAAGCTCTCCACTCTCTGCACAACTGCCCCATCACCAATTGGGAGTTGTGGGGGTGGAGTGTCCAATGGTACAAAATACCCAGGCAGGCGCTTAGTTTTGGTGGGGCTGATGGTAAGGCCCCACCTCTTAGTTACCAGATCATCGGCATACGTAACATGTTTGACCAATACGGAGCCATCCCTTGACCGCACCCGGGCATCGATCAGCCTCCCATTGTATCTGTACCAGATGGAAATTCCTCCAGTATTGCAATTGAAGGCTTCACGAACTACGTGGTTAAAATAGATGTTAAATAATGTCGGAGTCAGAGGACACCGCTGTCGCACACCAAGGTATACAGGGAATGGCTCCGACTCCGGACACGTAGCTTTACCCGGGCCCACTCACCATCATGAAGGTCATTAATGATCGTGAGCAGAGGGTCAGGGACTCCGAAATCATGAAGAACAACCCAGAGCCCAGGCCTACTGATGGTATCATAGGCCTTGACCAGGTTAATAAAGCAAAGATGTAGGTCTTGATGGAATTCTCTACACCTCTGCTGTAGCAGACAGACAGAAAATATGGCATCTGTGCCGACCGCACTTTCCTGAAACCACATTGGGGCTCCGCAAGCCTCTCTTCAGCGTGCCTGGCAAGGCAATGTTGAATAATTAACTAATCCTTATTCTTTGGGTCTTTCGGTAAAGTCATATAGATAGCTTCTAAGAAAATAACAAAAACTATGACGTTTCGATCGCAACAAAACGTTCGTCATCAGGAAGAGGGGGTTAGCTTCTCAAGGCAAACTGTTTATAAAGGTTTGAATTGGGCATAGCCCAAATGTCAGCAGCCAATGTTAATGCAAGTGGTGGGCAGCGACCGCGACGGTGGTGGGTTTTCCACCAATCAAAGGGCTGCCAGGTAAAAATGTGCATGTTAATGTAAAACCGTTGAGGTGGCTATGTTAATGTGAGAGATTAGCATGTTAATGGCAGATCGCAGAGCAGCAGCCTCCAGCTCTGAAGAGATTCCGCGACACTAAGGTAATACCGATCGCCTTTACATTGACATCTGCTGCTGTCACTTATCCCATTGTTAAACGGATCTTGTTCAGGGCCGGCTTAGCCCGGAACTCAGAGAGAATAAGATTGCTCCGATTTGAACTAGATAATTTAGACAAGACTCTCCTGAAATTACACTTAACATTGACTGAAAAAATGTCTACATCTGATTAGGAACATGTAGATAACATGACAGCCTCTTCAGCTGCCTCAATATCAGCTAAATGCAAAGATAACCTGATTTCCAAGTTCAACCTCCTTTCCAAGAAAAAGCCAGAACCACACGTTAAAAATGTAGATGTTGACAAGATTATTATCAATCACCCCTATACACATTCCAGTTGATGATATCATTGCCCAGGTTGACATAGCCCTTAAGGGTTTGGAACACATTACTACAGACGTGGCAATATCGGAAATCGCTGCAATCCTCAAAAACACTAAGATACCTATTAGCAACATCAGTAAGGATAAGCACTTTGAGATTTCCCAATTAAAAAAGAGAGATGACATCGTTATCCTCTCTGCCGACAAAGGCAATGCCACAGTCATCATGGATAAAACCACATACAATAACAAAATTCAGGACCTACTTAATGATGGTAGCTATACAAAAATTTAAAGAGATCCCACCAACAGCCTCGTTACGAAAACCAAAAATATCATCACCGATTCCACATATTTAACTGAACCAAGCGGTTCTCCTTAAAACCCTCTGCTACTAGACCACCCAGATTGTATGGCTTACCAAAAATTCATAAAGAGGGTACACCCCTTTGTCCTATCGTCTCGACCATTGACACACCCACCTACAAACTGGCCCGATTTCTGTCTGAGACCTTATAACCATTCACTGGTAAGAACACCTCAGCTGTACTTAACTCAGCTCACTTGGTATCGTTAATTAAGGACATCTCAATATCTCCAGGTAATTTGCTCATTAGTTTCCATGTAGTCTCCTGTTCCTGTGCCTGACACCATTGCAATCATTGATGACTTGGTCCAACAAGGACTGAATGCTGATGTACCGGCCCTGGTGAGACACTGCCTCACCAACACTTAATTCACCTGGAATGGAACTTTCTACAAACAAGTTGAAGGTACCCCAATGGGTTCTCCCTTATCTCCAATTGTAGCCAATGTTTTCATGGGAAAAATTGAGACAGATGCCATCTAGGAATCCACTCTACGTCTGTCCTTGTGGAAGAGGTACGTAGATGACACATTCGTCATCTGGCCACATGGCCGACCAGCTCTGAACCAATTCCTCAACCACATCAATTCCATACATCCAACCATCAAATTCACCATGAAGATGAAAAAGGATGGCAAGCTACCATTCGTGGATGTTTTAATCTAAAGGAGACCAGATGGCTCAATGGGACACTGTCTACAGGAAAGTCACCGATACGGATGCAAATATAAAACCTGACTCCAACCACCATCCTTCCCAGAAGAATTCCCTCATAAAAAACTCTACACCATAGAGCTTGATGTATTTCCGACCATCATCACCTAGCCAATGAACTGAAACACGTACACAAAGCTCTCAAGATGAATGGATATTCAGATTACGCAATCCGTAAAGCTATTAACTCAACCGTTAGGAAAGAACCATCTGAGGACCCAATCAAAACCATCATCTTGCTATACATAGCAGGGGTCACCAAAAATATCTCCAAAATCATGAGCAAACAATACCCCGGTGTCTACAAACTAAGCTGTGTCTGCGGCAGTAGTTACATTGGAGAAACTAAGCGACATGTCTCGGACAGTGTTCGTGAACATATGGCAGATCTGAAACATGGTAGGACCAATACCTTGGCCGTGGCTGATCATTGTTTTAATGCTGTGGGCTTACACGAAATTGATTTTTCTAAGACGAAGGTACTCTGCAAACCCACTGGCCATCAACAAAGATTTGGTCATGAAGCCATCCATATAACATACCAATCACTCACATCAACATGCTAATCTCTCACATTGACATGTTAATCTCTCACATTGACATGTTAATCTCTCACATTGACATGTTAATCTCTCACATTAATACGCTAATCGCTCACATTAACATGATAATCTCTTACATTAACATGCTAATCTCTCACATTAACATAGCCACCTCAGGGCGCTGGCCGTGGAGGCCGCTCAATGGTTTTACATTAACATGCACATTTTTACCTGGCAGCCCCTGTAGTCGTTAGTCTGTGCGGTCCTCCTTCTTAAAGAGGGGGACCACCAGGGCATCCTTCCAATCCTGCGGAACCCATCCAGTGGTCCAGACTGTTATGATGTCATATAGGACAGGATGTGCACAAACGCCACCCTCCCTCAGCATTTCGCTTGGGATATCATCTCTGCCCGGTGCCTTTCCTGGTCTCAGACTCTGGATTGCTCTCAGTACTTCCTCAACAGATGGCACCTCAGCCAGCCACTCACAGGGGGTGACATCTTCCTCCAATATTTGAGGCACCGCAGCCTCAGCAGGGTCATCCCCACTTTGCCCCATGATATTTTCCATGCTGAGGGATTTCCCCTCCCCCAGGACCTCACAGAAATGCTCAGCAAATCTGCAAACCTGTTTCTGGGGGTCGGAGATTGGATTACTATTCTTTCCCCTAATGATGGCAATAGGTGTTGCGCTGCAAGTTACTTTTTTATGGAATTAAAGAGCGATTTGTGATCGCGGTCCACTGAGGCAGATTCCATCTCACACACATGGACATACACACATGGACACACACATGGACAAAAGACAAAGACAAAGATCCCCCATATAGCCTTGACAGACTGTAGGAGCAAGTGCTGTTAGCGAGCACCTATGAAGGCCGGAACGGTACACGAGGGGGTGGGTGGCCAGCGCCACGCCCGACCGCCTTTGTCTCCCTAGTGGCAATGTTTACACACCACACCAGGTACTCATTTGAGGCTGAGTCGACCTAGGGGAGGCCCGGGACCGGTTCAGATAATCGTCACTGGTGTTGGCCGTGAGCGGGAATCGAACCCGGGTCGCCAGGTTCATAACGCAACGCGCTAACCGCTACACTATCGCTCCCCACACATGGACACACACATGGACACACACACACGGTCCTACAGTTCTAAAGTCTGCGAGGCTCAACCGGGACACACGGAAGTCAGCTGCCACGCCCCTCCCCCTATTACACAGCCCCGCCCACTGCCCCTGCAACCCCACCCACTGCTCTGGTAACCCTGCCCACTGTTCAGATAGCTCCGCCTACTGCATGGGCAACCCCGCCTACTGGACAGGTAACCCCGCCCACTATGTATGTAGCCCCGCCCACTGCCAATGTAGCACTGCCCACAACACCGGTAGCTGTTCACTGCTCGTGTAGCCCCGCCCACTGTCCGCATCACAACCCAACGCTGTTATTTTCCAGAGCTCAGCCCCCTGGGGTTGAGCGGCTCCCATTCAAAGCGAAGCCTCCCAGGCGGTGATTTTGGTCCCCAGTGAGCTGCGTGTGGCCCAGGCCTCACCGGGCCCCTGGTGTCTCCTCCAGCCAGGCCCGTGCAGGTAGACACAGGGCGGTGGGCAGAAGAACCTGCTCGCTCGCACAATGCGTACTTAGACTGAAAGGAGGAATCCGAAGATCTATTAAGCTCTTTTTTTTACAGATGTCCAGTAGGGGGCACGGGTGGTCGGAACGTTAAATACTACACAGACACGAAAGGAGTGCAAAATATAGGCATTGTAAAAAAATTGATTAAAATATTTATATACTGATTAAACTATATATTTTTTATTTTACCAGGTAAGGCCCCACTGAGCTCTGTCGCTATTTTTTCAGAAGCGACCCTGGCTATCAAAAATGAGAGCCCAACCAAGTGGCTTATGATCATCATCATCATGTGGAAATTTATAGCAGCAAAATAATCTACATAATCTAGACAGAATTAGAATATTTATTGACACTGGAAGAGTCCGATGAGCTATGAGGCTCTTTTTCGCAGATGTCTCCAGTAGGGGCACGGGGCAAGAACGTTACAACAATAAACAGTCCACAAACAGCATGGTAGTGCAAAGTACAAAAAGTGTAAACAAATCACGCACACACATACACGTAAAACTAAACCATCCTACCAGACAAAGCCCACTTATTAACTTGTTTGTAACTTATTTAAGGTATTAACTTATTATTCAGAAGCGACCTGGGCATCACAGATGATAGCTGCTCCACAAAGTGGCCCATCATTTGGGTATTTATAGTAGCAAAATAATCAAAATAATCTGGAGCAGTGGTTCTTCTTACCCTGGGGTGCACGTCACCCCAAGGTACCCCATGGGGGTGCTGCGAGATGCACTTTCTGGGGGGGGGGGGGTAGCGAGACATGGCCAGATTATTTTAGAAGGTAAATAATTGAAAACACAAATTAAGCATGGGCACGTTAATTATGCCGATGATGAGGATGACGATGTTGATGTCGATGATATTGATGACGATGTTGATGATACTGATATTGACGATGTTACAACTTGCGTTGTTTCATCAAACCCTGTGTAGTTATTAACAGTGTACATTTTTGTTAACGACTGAGAACCAAAGGGGTGCTATGCTACAGTAAAAGGGTGAAAACCACTGGTCTAGTCACAGGTTTTTAAATATGGAGGGAAAAACCGAGGACCCAGAGAGAGAGAGAGGGGTGGTTGCTCATCAGCAGGCCAGCCCAGAGACAGACCCTGCACCAGTGCTCAGTTGTACACGCACCGCACCCTTCGTTGATCCACTGCTGGATGAGGAACCTCCGGAGCCTGACAATGCCTGCTGTAGACACCTTCATTTAAGAACAGCACAGGAGGAGGATTTATCCGCAACTCTCTGTGGCTGTCCACCTGATGATGATGCTGGTTGTTGTAATTACCGGCAAGACATCACTCTACTAGAATTGTAAAATGTTTTAGTGGGTTTACACTCCAACACACACTGGTGTAGTGCTGTACTCGTAACGAATCGGCCACGTTTTGTTTACGTGACAAACCTTAACTAAATTGGCTGTGTTGGGTGGCAGCGGTTTAATGACACATTTATATTTACACGATATAACCCCCCCAAAAAACCTCAATTATGGATATTTGGAGTTTGCGTGTCTCTCTCTCCGTGGTCGCGTGGATTTTTCTCCGGGTTCTCCGGGTTTTACCCTCCACATTTACAATCCACATCACTCGTTTAGAGTATTTGGACTGCTGCTATACATTCGCACATGATGATAATGCATTTCTGTTGAGCTAGCTATCATCTGTGATGGCCAGGTCGCTTTCCAAAAGTGATCTGCATAGCTCACTGGGCCTTAGCTGGTAAAATAAAAAAGTAGAATTGTTAGATTGGATTCTTCCAGGACAAACAGAGATCGGAGCGTAGATATGTTGATTTAAAGCTTTCGTGACTGCAGTAATTCATATTCTTAGCTCTTTCGGTAAAGTCACGTTGAAGGGAAACAATAAAATAAAATATATAAAACAATAAAAATTCTCACGACGTTTCGACCATAACACAAACGGTCGTCATCAGGTGTGTTTGTGTTATGGTCGAAACGTCGTGAGAATTTTTATTGTTTTATATATATATTTTATTGTTTCCCTTCAACGTGACTTTACCGAAAGAGCTAAGAATACGTAGATACGTTGTCACATAGTACAGTACAACATTAGGTTATTTGTTGTTGCTGCACTGCCCTCTGCCGCCTTCAACAACCAGTCAGTCTTACACTGCACGGTGGCCGCACCTGACTCGGCATTGTCCAGGCTCAACCCCATCTGAGCTTCCGAGACGCGGTGAGAGACGAGACGCACTGCTGGGTAACTTAGCTACAAGCAGTGATGTGTGGGAGTGTGGTCGTGCTCGTGGCGCAAGATAAGTGTATTTACGGTAGTGTTGGGTGGCAGTATTAGTGTATTTATGGTAGTGATGGGTGGCAGTATTAGTGTATTTACGGTAGTGATGTGTGGCAGTATTAGTGTATTTATGGCAGTGATGGGTGGCAGTATTAGTGTATTTACGGTAGTGATGTGTGGCAGTATTAGTGTATTTACGGTAGTGATGTGTGGCAGTATTAGTGTATTTACGGTAGTGATGGGTGGCAGTATTAGTGTATTCACGGTAGTGATGGGTGGCAGTATTAGTGTATTTACGGTAGTGATGGGTGGCAGTATTAGTGTATTTACGGTAGTGATGTGTGGCAGTGTTAGTGTATTTACGGTAGTGATGGGTGGCGCTGCGGTTGGTGGGGCGACTCACCGCTTCTCGCTCCCGTACGACTTCTGAGCGACGCGCGCGTGCAGGATGAGAACCGAGCACCACCCCAGAGCGCCGGGCCACGGCGAGGCTCCGTCACACGACCCACTGCACCCAAGGACAGACAAAGATCCCCCGTGTAGCCTTCGACACATTCGTGGTCAAGTGCTGTTAGCGAGCAGCAAGCACCCTGTGCCACACGACGGGGGCTGCTGGGCAGCACCACGCCTGGCCGCCTTGTCTCCCCAGTGGCGATGTTTAACACTCGAATTTGAGGCCGAGTCGACCTAGGGGAGGAGGACCAGGACCGGTTCAGATAATCGTCGGTGATGTTGGCCGTGAGCTGGGATGGAACTCGGGTTGCCGGGTTTCTTGCGTAGCACAGCGCGCTAACCGCTGCACCACCGCTCCCCATTGCGCCACCATTCCACCATGTACACCACAGCACCATCGCCGCCGCCACCATCATCATTACCACCATCATCATTACCACCACCATCATCATCATTACCACCACCACCATCATCATCATCGATCATCATCATTACCATCATCATTGCGATCATCTTAACGAACATCATCACCACATCACACATAACTCAACACCACCTAACATCACGCAATACCATCTAACAACACCCAACATCACCTAATATCACACATCACCCAACATGAACTAACATCACCGAACATCACCTAACATCACCCAACATTTTAACACATAGGCTGTCGCGACCAATATCATCAATAATAGAGGTTTGTTGGGTTAGATCGCGTAAATGTCTCATTAAAACCCGCTAACACCCGACACAGCCAACTAGTAAGGGTTGTCACGTAAACAGAACGTGCCAATTCGTCACTAGTACAGCACACCGGTGTGTTGGAAAGCCAAGCCACAACATTTACAATCTGAGTACGACGTTTCGCCAGTAATTACAACTAGCTTCATCAGGCGACAGCCAGATTTGTGGGGTGGGAGGGTATTACTGAGGCAACGTACATTATGCATGTGTAGTGAGTTTGTATGGAGACGGAGACGTTGTCGTAGTGGCAACACGGTTTATTGTTAAACTATTCCACGGCTCCCCTTAACGTCCACACTCGGTAACCTGGCTCTCAGCCCGCCGGCTATCAGTGGCCTAGGGGAGGCTATCTGACCAGTGGTCCCGACCACTGGTCCAAGCTTGACCCGACCCTTACAAGGGCAGTGGACTCGAAATCCCAGGGTCCTAGTATAGCTGGCCTTCAGTCTTCGTACCCGGGGTGCCCCTTTTATACACCTTCAGGGAACCCTGCCCCCCTGGTACCGCCCTCTTTCTGGAACCTTCCAGAAGTTCCTGGAAGGCCCCCTCCCAGCCCCCCACCTGGGTGAGGGGAGGGGAACCCCGCCTCTCTTGGGTCAGGCTCCCTCTCCATCCCCTATGTACTCGCTGGCACACCCCACCGACCTCTGGCTGCAACTACAGGTAAGTGACTCAGGCGAACGGCAGGTAAGTGGATACCGGCGGTATCTGCATACTCGATCCAACGCTACGTCTGCATACGCGATCCGACGCTACACATGTGGATTATGCGAGCCCTTTGAACGTTTCCTTCCTGTGTATTGTGTGTATTTAAATAGCCGTACCAACGGTAATCCCGATTGAAGCATGCTCCCCTTTGTAGGCGCAAGAGCGCAGAAGCGTGGTCACCACATCTACGCCTCTATATAAGGAACAAAACAGGTGGACTTCTCCACAAATCTGACTGTCGCCTGATGAAGCTAGTTATAATTACTGGCGAAACGTCGTACTCAGATTGCAAATGCTGTAGCTTGCCTCTCCAACACACCGGTGTGCTGTACTAGTGACGAATTGGCCACGTTCTGTTTACGTGATAACCCTTACTAGTTGGTTGTGTCGGGTGGTGGTGGGTTTTAACGACACATTTATATATTTACGCGATCTAACCCAAAAAACTTCCTATGATGGATCACCCAACATCACAAAACCAGATAACCGAACACCACCTAACATCACCCAACAACATCACTTAACATAACCTAGCATCACATATAACCCAATGTCACCCAACATCACCTGCATCACCCAACAACATAGCCCAACATCACACATCACCAACACCACCTAGCAATCACCCAACATCACCCAAAATAACCTAGCATCACATATAACCCAACATCACCCATCAACATCACCTAGCATTACATATAACCCAATGTCACCCAACATCACCTGCATCACCCAACAACATCACCAAACATCGCCCAACATCACACATCACCAATCACCACCTAACAATCACCCAACATCACCCAAAATAACCTAGCATCACATATAACCCAACATCACCCATCAACATCACCTAGCATTACCCACCATCATCTAACATTACCTCCCATCACCACCCATCACCATCACCGAGCATATCACCCTGACCGTCATCATCAACCTCTGCCCACGCACCCACCCACCTGCTGTCCCAGGTGAGCGCGGGCAGTGCAGCGTGCACGCAGGCAGCGGCCGGCTCCTCCGTGCAGGCGAACTCAGGTTCGGCCTGCAGCATCTCGTACCGAGCCATGGTGGGGGTGAGTGGGGGTCCCGCCAGCTGGGGGCCCAGAGAGCCCCCCAAGGGGAGCAGAGATCCCGCCGCGGACGGATCTATCTCCTCGTCCGCTGTTGGCAACAAAAAAAAGGGGCAACGCAGGGAGGCAGGGTGGCATCGTCCCGCCTCCCCTGTGTCCACGTCTGTGTGCCCACGTGGGCCCATGTCCGTGTACCCTCGCGTCTCCAGGTGTACCCATGTCCGTGTGCCCACCCGTACCCACGTGTACACATGTCCATGTACCCAGCCGTACCCACGTGTAACCATGTCCATGTATCCACGTCCACGTAAACCCACGAAGTACCCACGGCTAGCCATGTCCCGGGTGCCGCGTACTCGTCGAGAAGTGGGGGGCCTCCACTCCCTCGTGCTCGCGGGGCAGCAGCAGCAGCTCCTCCATGAAGCTGAGCTCCCGGGCCATGGTCGACACGTTTCACTCCCGACCGCCTTTGTATCTCTCCTTCCCCTCTTCCAATATCCTCTTCTCTCTCCGTAAGTCTTCCCCAATCTCTTGCCTACTCCACGCGCTCTCTCTCCTCCACTCTCTCGTTGTTTGTTTTTGCCCCCCCCCCTCTCTCGTTTATGACCTCCCCTCGTTATCAGCTGAGTCTCCAGATGCGCGTCGCCCTGGGGTTCCCACGCGCCCCCCCCCCACTACACGCCCCCCTCCACTACGGTCCTCTCCGCACATCATTGATTCCTCCACCCGTGTAAGATGATGCGGTCAACAAGACACTGTGCCCACGGGATGCCCACGTGTGTCCCACTAGCAACTACACTGCGGGTCGCAAGATCACACTCACCCACTCACTCACCCACTTACCAATGCATTCACTCAACCACCCATCCACTCACTTTTTACACTCGCCCACTAAATCACCCACTCACTAATCAACTTCACTCACCCACCCACTCATTCATCCACTCACTTATCCACCCACACCTATGACGGCCGGTACGGCACACGATGGGGTGGGTGGTCAGCACAACGCCTTTGTCTCCGTATTGTTAATGTTTTTACGAGGCACTCAATTAAGGCTGAGTCGCCCTAGGGGAGGCCCAGTACCGGTTCACACATTTGCCACTGTTATTGGTCGTAAGCAGGAATCAAACTCGGGTCGCCAAGTTCGTAGTGCAGCGCGCTAACCGCAACACCACCGCTCCTCACCCATCCACTCACTCTTGCCTACCCCTCCCCTCACTCTCCCACCTCTCCCCTTTCATCTCACTCCACGCACTCTCCCCACTCATCTCACTCCACTCACTCTCCTGCCTCTCCCCTCTCGTGTCACCCCTCTAATCTCGCTTCATTCCCGTCCAGGCTTCCTGTGCACTCCCCGAGTTACCTTTCATTGACTCAGTGGTCACTCATTTTCCTCTGTTGCTCCCACTGTCTGGAACATCCCTCCAGCCGTCCGTGCTTTAAACTCCCGGGCTCCTTCCAAGACCTTCCTCTGCCTACGACCTCCACTGTTCTTTTTCCCACTCACACAGCGATCCAGACACCGACCTACGACTATCCCTCTCACCGCGGTGGCTAGATGCGACCTCGCCTGGTCTACAGGTTGTGGGTTCGATCCAGACCCCGATGCCTGCTGCCGTGTATTTGGAGTCTGCGGTGTCACTCTCTCCCCCCCGTGGTCGCGAGGATTTCTCCGTGTCCTCCGGTTGTTCCCTCCACATTAAGAAGCACGCGTTTAGATTATTTTGGCTGCTATAAATTTTAGACACGAGAAGCCACTTTAATGGGCTATATTATTTGTGAAAGCTTGGTCGCTTCCGAAAAACAGCTACGTAGCTGTGCTTTAGCGCCTTTAAGTTTCTACGTTCCCACCGCTCTATGCGCAGCGTTCAGATTCGGTTGCATTGAGAGGCGAGGCAACAAAGCCTCACTCGGCGGTGTTCTTGTCCGTCTCCTCGCGTCTACCAATGTCTCCCGTGTCCCTGTATGCAACTCGTTCTCAGTTATTCGCGCTGCAAGCTTATATTTTGAATATGCGTGCCTGTGTTCGTGTATGGATCAAGCTTTGTATCGTTCGATTCTCGTTTAATCAATCGTTAAAAACGCAATTCCATTTCCAATATTCCTTATATGGCAAAGCCACGCCCAATTACTCCATACGTGTACCTACAACTTCCACATGTATCAGTCACGGATGCACTGCATTCTGTAGCAGCGCATTCATTCGCTGGCCACCTCCGTCCCCGTCTCCTGCGTGTTCGCCCACAACAGCGCAGGCTCGACCGAGGGAGTTGAGAGGGCCGGCAGGCTGGGTGAAGAGATGGAGATGGCGTACGGGAAGGTGCATGTGGAGCTAAGTGGGGGCTCGTGTACCCACGAGTCGGTCTGTGGCAGAGGCTCGTGAAAGACACTGCTACTGGGCAGTTGGAGGAAGTCGCCCACCAAGTCACAAAACCCACTCACCACACTGCAGGTCACAAAACCCGCTCACCACGCTGCAGATCACAAAACCCACTCGCCACACTGCAGGTCACAAAACCCACTCACCACGCTGCAGATCACAATACCCACTCACCACACTGCAGGTCACAAAACCCACTCACCACACTGCAGGTCACAAAACCCACTCACCACACTGCAGATCACAATACCCACTCACCACACTGCAGGTCACAAAACCCACTCACCACACTGCAGGTCACAACATCCACTCACCACACTTAAAAATTAACTCCCATCAATTATCTTTTTCCCTCCAAGTTTCTTACAGCAACCTCGTGCTCCATTCAAGGCCTGTACACGACACTTACAGACCAGAACCTCGCAAAAGCCGCGAGTCACCGCCGATGCCGGTATCTCCCCTATGGGGGGATAGGAAGCCGGAAAAACAAAAACCGGCGCTAAAAGTCTACAGACAAAACCTGGCAAGTCCCTACTCAACCGCTCTGCAGCAAACACCGGCTTTCATTCCGAGCGGCGTTCACGGTACGCGAGGAACGGAGGCAGGAAGCGAACCACGGGACTCGATGGGGGGGCTTTATTGGTGGTGTGGGGGGGGCGCTGTGGGACCCCCGCCGCTTCACTTGTCCCCGGGCTGCGGCTGCTGCTGCTCCGGCATGGAGCGGATGATGTCCGAGTCACCTGGAGCATGGACGAGACGCGCGCGGGGGGGGGGGGGGAAGACACGGTGGTGAGGGAGCCACGGAAGTGGGGGACAAGTGGGGGAGACGGGGTGGGAGAGACGTGGGCGAGGGGACACAGGGGGGTAGATAGACAAGGTTAGCACGCACGTGGCACAATCATCACTCATTGGCCACAACGGTGCAGTCAGGGTTTAAGTTCGCCACATTTTGTTCAACTACTCCACCAAAGAGACTCAATTGGGAGCACTCAAAGCCATCACCACCCCCTCCCCGACAGCGAAAACCTGTTCAGGCCCCTCCTGAGAACAAGAGTCGCGAGACTCGGCGAGGCTTTCTCCTGGGTCAGGCAAGCGGCATGACAGTAAAAGTGTAAAACGACTCTGCATTGAATGGCGCTGATGGCGTGGAGCGGGAGGAGTTGTCCGGACACGCACGGCAGCTGTGGCTCCCTTCGCATGGTTGGCGAGATGTTAACTACCTCACCTGGTATATAGGGGGTCGTGGGGTTCGTTCCCGACCCCAAAATCTGTTATGTTTGCGTGTTTCCCTCTCCCCATGGTCGCGTGGATTTTTATTACGGGTTCTCCAGTTTTGTCCTCCAAATTTAGAATCAACATCACGCGTTTAGAGTGTTATTTGGCTGCTGCTATAAATTTCTACACAATATTGATAAGCCGCCACTTCGATTGCGGCCAGGGCCGACCGTCGGGCAACGAACGTTACCCTCGCGTGGTTGCGCTGGTAGAAGTGCTGCCCCTACCAGGGCGGACCAGAGGTCATTCTCGTATGGTAGGGCGGGGGTAATGCTGCCCCCTACCGGGGTGGACCAGAGGTCACTCTCGTATGGTCGGGTAGGGGGTAGGGGAAGTGCTGCCCTCTCCTGGGGCAGACCAGAGGTCACTTGAAGGATCTCAAGAAGGTAGCTCCGTGAGATCCGCTTTCTGCGCCGCTCTGCCTGAGATGTGAATTGTTTCTCTCTCGTCACGAGACGAAAACAAAAAAACACCATCGGTGGAGGAGGAACGTGAAAAGAGACAAGTAGCAATATGGCCATAGAGACGACAGCTGGACAAGCCGACCCCCCTCCAACTGTGGCACGTTGCGCAGCGGCATCGGTCAGAGACCCTCTCGTCTCCTCTGTTCGCACCCCATCACTCGCACCTCAATTCTTCTCATCAATTTCATGCACGATCACTTTTTCGCGGAGAGTTGGACAAACATCACAGCCGTCGCCTTCCCCGCTTTTCTGCAGTTTCCGGCGACTCAAAATCACTCTCTCCTCCCTCTCACCGTATCATTCTCTACCCCCTGAATCATTGTCTCTCTCCCTCTCACCGTATCATTCTCTACCCCCTGAATCATTGTCTCTCTCCCTCTCACCGAATCATTCTCTACCCCCTGAATCATTCTCTCTCCCTCTCACCGTATCATTCTCTACCCCCTGAATCATTGTCTCTCTCCCTCTCACCGAATCATTCTCTACCCCCTGAATCATTGTCTCTCTCCCTCTCACCGTATAATTCTCTACCCCCTGAATCATTGTCTCTCTCCCTCTCACCGTATCATTCTCTACCCCCTGAATCATTGTCTCTCTCCCTCTCACCATATCATTCTCTACCCCCTGAATCAGTCTCTCTCCCTCTCACCGTATCATTCTGTACGCTCTTTGAATCATTGTCTCTCTCCCTCTCACCGTATCATTCTGTACGCTCTTTGAATCATTGTCTCTCTCCCTCTCACCGAATCATTCTCTACCCCCTGAATCATTGTCTCTCTCCCTCTCACCGAATCATTCTCTACCCCCTGAATCATTGTCTCTCTCCCTCTCACCGTATCATTCTCTACCCCCTGAATCATTGTCTCTCTCCCTCTCACCGTATCATTCTCTACCCCCCGATTCATTGTCTCTCTCCCTCTCACCGTATCATTCTGTACGCTCTTTGAATCATTGTCTCTCACTCTCACCGTATCATTCAGTACGTTCTTTGAATAATTGTCTCTCCCTCTCTCACCGTAAAATTCTCTACATTCTTTAAATCACTCGAAACTCCCACCAAATCATGTGTTTTAGTTTATCCTTCCCTCAGTACCTCCGATTAGCACGATGCAAAAGAAGTTGAACATACGTTCCCTTAGGAACCATATTCTCCATCCCTATTATCTCTCCGACTGCGAACACGAACCGACCTCTTCACAAATGTGTTCAAACCTTTTCAAGCCACTTCACCAGGTCTCGCACGAACCTCTCGGCTATCGTATCATTCTCTACACACTTTGAATCATTCTGTCTATCTCCCTCTCACCGTATCATTCTCTACGCTCTTTGAATCATTCTGGACTCTCCCTCCACATTATTTGTGTTTAGTTTTGTTGTCCTTCCCCCGTGCCTCTGATGAGCACGGTTGGCTACGTACGATGCAAAACAAGTTCAACATACATACACTCTAATTAATCACTCTTATGAATCACTCCCACAAACCAATCTCTTATCAATAATTCTCTCCCTCCCAATTGTTCCGTCTCTGACTGCGATCATGAACCGAGCACGTCACAAATGTGTTCATTCGTTTTTCAACCACTTCATCAGGCCGGGCACAAACCTCTCATCACCACCCGTGCCCCCCCACTCACCGGGGTCGATGATGGCGAGCGTACACACGCGGTAGTACTTTCCGCACGCCGTGCCCATCTCGATGTTGTTGCCGCTGTAGTGGTGGACGCCCGTCTTGGCCAGCATGGCGTAGTACTCAATCTCGGACTTCCTGCACGCAGCGGTAGGGTGGGGGGGGGGCAGTCAGAACCTCGAGAGACGCTGGCCGGGAGTCACGACCCAGGAGCCACGGCCCGGGAGCCTCGAATCGGGAGCCACGGGCTCGGAAGTCAGAGGCGACATACGCACGTGTGGAGGGGAGTCATCATCACCACCACCACGATCCATGAGCAGATAGCCCCTAGAATAGGTGTGTCCACTGCATATTTCGTCATTTGTTGTTTTCATCTTCTTTGGTTCTTTCGGTAAAGTCACGTAGAATTCTCATTCTGAATCATTGCAGTCACGAAAGCTTTAAATCGAAATTTGTTGTTTTCACTTTCCTCTCTGACTATGGAGTGCCAATATGGATCAAGTTGTGGCCACATCTTTCAAGCACCAATCTCTTAATGTCGTCATCGTCAAACCATTATCTGTCAAGGTCCTCCCTCTTTCCCGTTCCTACAATATTTGTTCCCATCCAAACAACCACACTTTTAATGTACTCGTTGTTGTCCATTCTAACCTATGTGACTCCACACAGTGCCAAGTTTCCTTCTCATCACTGTATGAGGAGGGGGGAGTAGCAATAAGCTATGAAGCTCCGTCCGAGGTAACGGCCAGCACCCCGAGAACTTTTTCATCCAGCAGCGGCATCGACGGAGGGGTCCGGTAGGGAGACAACCATGCACACGCGGAGCCGAGGGGCCCGAGCGCTGTTCGCCACACACCTCAGTGCCGGGCAGTTGTTGGCGAGCAGCACCAGCTTGGCCTTGCCTTGCCGGATCATCTTGAGTGTCTGTCTGTAGCCCAGGCAATATTTGCCACTCTTCATCACCAGCTGGAGTCGCGAGTTGATGGACTCGATCGCCTTTTTCTGCACGCAAGGGAACAACGACGGCAGCGATGACAGGACTGACGCACCACAGGACACAGCAGCACAGCGACGGACACCCAAACGCCATCAACGCCACGCCAGCAGTGCTACCAATGCAAAAGCGCCAACACACGATGTATGGATAGTAGAACCCCCCTTAACGCCCATACATAAATGACTGATCGCTTAACGACGGGCCTCCATACAGCCCAATGTGTAGTGTATAGTAGTGTAGGGCCTCCATAGAGGCCAATGTGTTCGCTTACCGACCATTCCCGTATTAACGATGGGCTGTTGTAGGTACAGTAAATATTAATTAATGCATTAACAGTGTTACTTTTAATATGTGCTTATGTTGTATAAAAATTATGAAGTAAGTTTTTTTGGGTGAACCAATTACCGTCGTTACTACTGTATGCATGCCAAACTTCTTTTGCACCAATCATAGCCCCCAACCATGCTAATCGGAGGTGCGGAGGAAGTACGACAAGCTAAACACAAAACAGCATCAACCATGACCAACGACCACCATCAACCTCTCACTCTCTCCCCCTGTCTCACTCTGCTCCCCTCCCTGGTGGTTGGGCGGTAAACTGAGTGGCTCGCAATTCATTGGAAAGTTGCTTTGTCAAGTTCAAAACTTGTCTGTGGGGTGCTTGTTGTCTCAGCAACGCATCCCTTTGGGGTCGATAAAAAACATCGGTATCAGTGTGAGGGAAGTCAACAGCAGTCGTCTAAATGGATAAGACTCACCCCCCTGTTATAGTAATGCTTCATCCATGTTTATCAGGCAAACTTGATCACCCTCGCAGCAGCAGCGGCGCCTTCTGGGCTAACCATCGAACAAAGACGATGGTGGTCACCGCATCGCGCAGCGTTTTCAGATGCGCTTCTGCGGCCGTCTGTAACGGTCTGCCTTCCGATATTAGGAAGCCACTGTGAGCTTTGCAACTTATTAAAATCGTCATCTAGATTGAAACGCATTTCGAACTGCTTGTTTGTGTTCAGTTTGTTGTCCTTCCCCTGCACCTCCGATTAGTGCGGTTGGCTACGTATGGTGTTAAAGTTCAACATACATACTTCATGGTGGTGATGTTGATAATGCGGCCGTCTGGAATGCTCTTCCTTCCGATATTAGGAAGACACTGGGAGCTATGCAACTTTTAAATCATCGAGATCGACAAACTAATTTCTTTAGAACTGCTTGTTGGTGTTGTTTAGTTTGTTTAACATGTCATAGGCATTCGCAACCAATATCATCCATAATACAGGTTTTTTGGGTTAGAACGTGTAAATGTGTCGTTAAACCCGCCACCACCCGACAGCCAATTAGTAAGGTGTGTAGGGTGGTGACTAACACTGCATCTCCAATTTGCACGGTTAGCTACATTCGGTGTGAAAGAAGTTCAACATACATACTGCCCATAGACTAACAGTGACAATCGACTAACACTGCACCTCCGATTTGCACGGTTGGCTACGTGCGGCGCAAAAGTTCAACGTACACAATTAAATGCAGAATTCCCAAAACTGCCTTTAGAGCTATGAAAGGGAGACTGAGTAACAACCGAATGTTCTTCGAAGAGCAAATCACCTACATTCTTCCTGGGTAAAGCGTGCTAATAATTACCGGATAAAGCAGTCAGATTCAAGTTAAGTGGTCATTGGCTTCTGTCAATCCTGCCTCAATTTCACTTGATCAGAGGCAGCGGTGGCTTCATCAATCCCCTGCATGGCCAAGCCTCTCTCCCACCACCCCCACTCTGCCTTCACCAACCCGAACTGTGTGACAAGCACGGGTGAAGTATGGTCAAATAATCCCCACGACTCGCTCCGGGTGAGGGGTCCTTCACCCAGCAGTGCATTGACGCGGAGAGAATGCAGTGAGCGGCTCTGAGCACATCCGGCCCCTACCCTCTCGGATATCTTCCGGGAAACGACAACTCGCGCAAACCTCGTCACGTGTCTCTAACCCTTTCTCGCATTGTGAGCAATATCTAAATTTGCATTCAAGTAAGGGCCGGTCGACTGAACTATATTGCGTGGCTATTTTTCACAAGTCACCTGACCAAGTGGCTTATCATCATGTGATGGAAAAAAAATAAACTCCGGAGGACTCCGGAGAAAAATCCACACGACCGTGTGGAGAAGGAGAGAGATAGACACGCAAAGTACAAATATACAGGTGTTAGGGTCGCGAGCGAACCAACAATCTCCTGCATACCAGGACGAGGTAGTTAACATCTCGCTACCTTTCACTCAAAAGCCAAGATCCATCCACTGCTGGATATTAAGCCCCGACCTCCCCCACCAAGCCCCGTCGCCTCTCAGGATCCGGCGAGGCAACAATCCATCCAGCACACGCGCCGACACCGGGCTCATTTTCACCGCTCAATATCCGCGGTGGAGTTTGGGTTTAAAAAAAAATTCCAACAAGTTAACTGCACTGTAGTAGTAGCAGCAGCACTGGGTTGCGGAGATGATGAACCGGGGAGGCAACCCAGAGAGAACCATCGCAAGTTCTGGGCAAATCCCCATTCCACAACTTCACGAACCCGCACCGACCGACATGGCCTTCATCCAGCAGTGGATTGACAAACATGATGTAGGTATAGTGACGGATTTAATAGAATGCTCGCTGTCACGTCTGTTTCTATTTGCACCGTCTTCAGTGGGGATACGGCGCGGAGGTGCCCAACGTGGCGGACTGAACCACGCGTCTGTCTGCATTCACAGCGACCATCCCGAGACCCCGGGAACACTGAACAGCTCTAAACTATTTTAAATTTCACCAGGAAATGCCCAGAGGCGCACAGCTCTTTATTCAGAAGCGACCAGGCCGTCACAACTGATAGTGGCTTATCGTCATCGTGTGGAAATCTATAGCAGCCAAATAACCTTAAGGGCGTGGTGATTCTAAATGTGAAGGGGAAAAAACCAGAGTACTCGGAGAAAAATCCACGTGATCACAAATATACAGCAGGAGGCGTCGGGATCGAACCCACGACCACCTGTATACATGGCGAGATAGTTAACATCTCGCTACTTCGGGCACAGACGCAGAGGCGGAGACGCGAGTGAATATTCGGGGACCGCCGCTTGTGGAGATCTTGGTACGAGGGTGGTGAAGACAATGGTGGGGGAATCAAGACCCCGGTGACTTAGGGGTGGAGGGGACCCTGGTACCACCACCATGACACGGAGACGCGGGAGATACCCGGGGATGAAGACCTCTCTGATCTATGGGGGGGGGGGGGGGTGTGGAAACATCCAACGATACACGGGGCGGAGGCGCTAGCTAGGGCCGCCAGGGAACACGATGGCTGAAGCCCCCGGCGCTAACTTGGTTACAGGTGCTTAAAAGATGCCGATAAACAAGGGGGACCGAGTGTGTGTGGGACCCGGGCTAACGAGGGACAGTGCGCTGGGGAGAAGTGAAGAGGGTAGAGACACCCGAGACCACGGGGCTTCCGTGGCAAAAGTCTCAAGCGACCACGCGGAGCTGGTTTCTACGCGGGACCCCCACGGGTGGCGGACACGTGGGTAGGCCGCAGGCTTTTTCCGGCCTCGCCTAGCCGACGCCCCCAAGCCCGCCTCGCGGCAACTCACCGTCTTTTTGGCGGACATTTTCAGTGAGCGTCAAGTATCCGTCCGCACCTGCAAGGTGACAAAAAAAGGATGCGGAGGCTGTGTTAGGGGGGTAAAGTTTGTCGCGTGAGGGTGAGGTGTTGCGCCGAGTACGCGGTGCGAGTCTCACCACGGAGCCGCTAATGCTGCTGCCTCAAGATGGCGAGAGGGGGGAAGAGAGAGAGCTCCCGGCGTGCACCGCGACTCCCCCCCCCCCTCCCACGTCGCCAACTCTCGCGAACTTCGCGCAATCCCACCCCAACCCCTTCCACCGCCGCCAGCTCTCGCGAGACTCGCGCCACACCTGCCCCCCACCCCAAATATCGCGAGAGTTTTTTGGGTAGCGTTGAAGGGAGGGGAGGGCTGAGTGTCGATGAATCGATTAATTTTAATCGAAGGGTATGTGAGTCTAAGAATTGATTATTAAAGACGCCTAGCAGAATATTTATACTTGGAGGAATCCGATGGGCCAAAAAGCTCTTCTTTTTAAAAAGATGTCCAATGTGGTCACGTAGATCAGAGACGTTACAACAACAAACAAAACAACACGACACGAGTACAAAGTATAGGATAGGTAAAATAATCACTTAAAAAAAACTAAAACTATATATTTTTTGTAATATTACCACGCAAATCCGCACTGGGGGTATTAACTTGTTTTTTTCAGAAGCGACCTGGCTATCACAAATTATTCATAGCTGTCACAACCCGCGTGGTTTACTCCGTATTCTTAAACAGGGAAATTGAGTTTGCAGGTCCATACGGCGTACAGCCGTTTCAATACGGGCAACATTAAAATTGTCTATTTGTTTGTCCAGAATTCATGTTTTTTTTGGGTTAGATCGCGTAAATATATCAATGTGTCGTTTATATATTTACGCTGTCTCAATGCATTCTTTCACAACCGTTATAATGCACCCCCCCCCCCCCACTCGAACCTCACGTCTGCAATATTCTTTCGGTCTTTTGCATTCTGACCACAAGTATTGTGGTTAATGCAGACATAATTAGCCGAGGTATTCCTAGTTCTGCGATCTGACATTTACTTGCAAATTCCATCTCTAGCCCCGCCCACTTACCCTTGGGTTGTACCCATCTCAACCTTTATAACCTTTGGCTGCAGCAGCTCTCTCGCTACATTTCTTCCTGCCTCAGCAGTCCGCCTGCTGTATTTTTTCACCTGAAGACGATTCCTTGTGTTGCGATCGAAACGTCGTGCTGTTTTATTATTTTATTATTTTACCTATCTACGTGACTTTACCGAAAGATCCAAAAAATATGAATTCCTGCAGTCGCGACAGCTTTAAGTCGAGATTTTCTCACGTCTTTTTTGTTTGTTCATGTTTGTTCATCTTGTTGTTTGTTGCGGTTGCACCCGAGTCAAGAGCCGCATGGCTCACAGGGGTATACCTGATAAAAGAAACTGAACCGAAACTGAACCACTCGGCACAGCCAACTAGTAAGGTTTGTCACGTAAGCAGAACGTGCCAATTCGTTACTAGTACAGGACGCCGGTGTGTTGGAGAGCAAATCCACAACATTTACAATATGAGTACGACGTTTCGCCAGTAATTACAACTAGCTTCATCAGGTGACTGCCAGATTGTTGGAGAAGTGCTGTTTCGGTCCTTAAATAGAGGCGTAGTTTGACGACTAATTGGCTATGTCGGGTGGCGGTGGTTTAACGACACATATTTTAATGTGATCTAATAAAAAAACTGTATTATGGATGATATTGGTCGCGAAAGCCTACTAGGTGTTAAACTATTTATTTCTGTTTTTCTCCTTGTGATGAAACGTTGTAGAATGAACGTTGAGATGTATAAAGGGGACGGGGTCATCAATACAGTCTGAATTGGTCTGTAATAGGGTAGGGCACTGATAAGGGGTTGACGGGTATGCAAATGATAGCCACTCAACAAAAGTGGGCTTATCACGCGGATATTTATCGCGGCAAATATATACGTATATGGTCTTAAAAGAGCATATACATATATACTCGAGGCGACGTTTTGGGTAATTACCCTTATTCATGACACATGCAAATCAATTAAAAACATAATAATCGATGTTGTGATAGAAAGTGGGCTCGTTGGCCAAAACGTCGCCGAGTATTCAGTTAACAGACTGTTGGGGCAAGTGCTGTTAGCGAGTAACACCTATGAAGGCCGGCACGGCACACGAGGGGGTGGGTGACCAGCACCACGCCCGATCGGTTTTGTCTCCCTGGTGACGATGCTTACACACCGCCACCAGGTACTCATTCGAGGCTGAGTCGACCGAGGGAGGCCCAGGACTGGTTCAGATAATCGTCAACGGCGTTAGCCGTGAGCAGGAATCGAACACGGGTAGCCGGGTTAAGTAGCGCAGTGCGCTTACAGTTTACACTACCGCTCACCACCCAAGGCCACGCACATTCACACACAGACACACACTGTGCTATAAGAATATAATATCAGAGCATTTTTTTTTCCATGTGTAGTGAGTTCAACTGAGTTGCAGACGTTATCTTGGAAGCAACACTTTATTATACAACAGCACGCAACATAATATGATCTACACTCGGGTCTCGAATGCCCATCTAACCACGCTACGGCAGTACTAGACACGGTTCGCTATCCCGGTTCGGACCACAAGCTGGGTCCCGGACTGCGTGGCTAGAGGCTTCTTCTCCCCGATGTGGATTTTCATAACACCATGCACACGAAGATCCTCGAGCTCCTCACGAGGCCCTCGTTATATGCCCCCCGGGCTGGGGCTGGCTCCGCCCTTCGCCCCGCCCACCTTCCAGGTCTCTCGAGCTCTTTCTCGAAGGTTCCCGAGAGCTCTTTTGGACCACGTGACCACCCCGCAGCCCCCGTCCATCGGTGGCCCCCCTCCAATATCACCCGGTCAAGTGTCAGCAGGTCAACCAACGTATCATGCCCCAACGTAACCCTGGCTGGCTGACGCTCCCTCTCGCTCCCTCACCAGGAGCCCGCACCGCACACTGCTCGCGGTGCCTCCGCGCCAACCAGCACTCACCCAAGTCCCGCTAGGGCTGGTACTACACCCATAACCCGGGCTGCCCATAATGACAACACATTATCCGCCATGGCTTCGTAAGCCCCGGCACCATACAGTGACAACCACAGTCACTACACATGTGTAGTGAGTCCAACTGAGGTGCAGACGTCGTTCTTTAGAGGCAACACTTTTATTGTAACATCAACCCTTTAACACAAAGGGGTAACTGCCCCTTCACCAGATACAGCCTAGGGTGGTGATCACCCAGCTAACTACTCTATACGTAGGAGTCACAGCTACGAAGGGTCAGACCCTCACTCGGATCCCTGACCACGTGTTGATGCCTTGTAGGAGGTAGAGTTTCCAGCTTGTCGACGTGGAGCTTCCAGCTTGTAGGATGCAGCGACCCCGGTCCCTCTCAGGGACCCACCTTATATCCTCCCGGGTCAGGGCCACTCCGCCCTTGGCCCCGCCCACCTCGAGCATTCTAACTCCCTCTCGATCCCTCTTGGGAGCTCTCCCCGGACACGTGATCACCCCCTAGCCCCCCCACCTTAGGCCCACTCTGTGGACACTCCGGATCACGTGTCTACGAGGTCAACCAGAGTACTCCCCCTTGTGGGAGCCTGCACTACACGCTATGCGTAGTGCCCACGCTATCCTAGCGCTCACCAAGCCCCGCTAGGGCTGGTACTACACCCGCCTACGGGGTGTGACAGTGCATCGCACGCCATGCTGTGCTAGAGCCGGCCTCACACAGCAACCCACCCGGTGCTGTCCGTGATGTAGGGACATCGCACGCCACGACCCTCTCGGGCCGGCACCCTACAGTGACATCACTGATGTCACTACACATGTTCACCACGAGTATATGTGTTTAATGCAGACGTGATTCCTTGCAAAATGTTTCAGTTTGGTGTTATAACATCTTAACACACATGCTTTATTGCCAGAAAGGGCAAAACCTATTCTTATATTTTGATAGTAGCGTAATGACAGGGTGACACCTGAAGGGGAATCACGTGTACGGGCACAGTTAAGTAACAACCAATCAGAGGAGGAGGTGTATCTGGGGTAAAGGGAAAAGATGGGGTTATCCGAGAAACTGTGGGAACCTGCTCGAAGGTTCCACAAGAGGGCGTGGCCGGAGGTTGGGCCTAGCCACGCCTGGGGTGGATATAAGGGGGAGCGGACCTGGGGCTTGTGTGGTGTCTTGGGTCCTGGCTGCGTCGCTACTTGCAGACATCTCTCTCCGTCGTCTGGCCACGTGGAAGAGCTCCTGCGTGGTTTCCATCGATGTCATTGTCAAGCCAGCCAGCCAGCGGCGTAGCTGAGTGAGGGCGATGGGACCACGCCGAGTGATTGGCTGTATGTAGCCAGCAGAGACGTTAATACCTAGTGTTCTACTCAGTGTGAGAAGAAATACGTATTGGCCTTACACAACGTGTCACAGAAGTCGCTCATTACAGTAGTAAGGCAAGTCCCATGACACACGGTGCTATTTACGTATAATGTTGAGTTAGAGCGTGTAAATATAGAAATGTGTCATTAAACCCGCCACAACCAGACACAATCAATTAATAAGGTTTGTCACTTAAACAGAACATGCGAATTCGTTACCAGTTCAGCACACCGGTGTGTTGAAGAGCAAATACACAACGTTTATAATCTGAGTACGACGCTTCACCAGAAATTACAACCGGCATCATCAGGCGGGTTTAACGACGCATTTATATATTTACGCGATCTAACCCAAAAAAAGCTTGTATTATGGATGACACTGGTCACGAAAGCCTACTACGTGTTAAACGGAATAATGTTTAGTTTATTTTAAGCACAATAATAAGGCCGTGGGGGCTGATTTGATGTGTAAAAGAAGATTGAGTGCTATCACATTTACAGTCACATTTGCGAATGTGGCTTTGTAACGTTGATCATTTACCTGCAGTGTAGTCATTGATAGTTAATTAAGGGACTACTGCTGCAACTGCTGTGTGGTGTTATCTTGTTGTTCTTATTGTCTTTGCTGCCTTGCCCAATCTTGATAATTTATTACTTATTTATATTTCGTGACTCGCATACCATTGTCTCTCTTTTGCACCCCTACTATTGTGTTGTATTGTGTTGTTATTTGTTGTAGTGTTGTTATTTGTTGAACGTGTGCAAAAAGAGCTTCATAGCTCATCGGATTCCTCCTGCAGTCTAAAAAAAATCCTCCTGCAGTCTGCTGTCCGC